CTGTTCCTATGGTGACGCTCCTCGCCTCCAGAGGCCCTACCTAGCTGTTTACAGCCAAGCTTCAGCTAGGGATGGGGGGCAGGGGACACCCAGCCCCGGCTGACCCCGGCTCCCCCCGCCCAACGCACGTGGGGTTTCTTGGTGCCCAAACTCAAGTCTGGTCTTCCGCGATGAGCCTTAATTGGATCCCGGCACAAAAATGTTTGTTCTTCCTCTCCCTCCATCTGGAGGGCCGCCCCCCCCCCCCCCCCGTTGGAGACAGAACTTGATGCTGGGGTCCAGAGAGGCTGAGCAATGTCCCCGAGGTCACACAGCAAGGTGCTGGCAAAGCAGGACCGGATTGTTGAGGCCTGGCGCCCAGCCAGAATGACCCAGACAGCTGACGGTGAGTGGTGCTTTGAGGAGTCCCAGGTTCCCTCCTTTCAACGGTGCATTTGAGGTCTGACCAGAAAGCCCACAGACTCAAAACAGACAAGAAATTCGTGTCACTAGAATAAGATTCTGGCTGGGACTGAGGGAGTGGCCCTCTGTTTCCTGCGTCAGCAACGGTGGAATTTGGGGCACGAGACCGTTTCCTGGGGCTGGACACCTTCCCTCTCTCTCCCTCTCCCTGCTCGCCCCGTAGTCTCATCTCCATGTGTCACCCTCAGGCCTCGTCGCGGGCTGCCACAGCCCTGCAGTTGCCCAAAACAAGGCCTAGCCTCTCTTCCCTCAGCCCTGCCCCTGACCATGCGCACACAGGCGCCAAGTCCTGGGGGGGTCGTACCCGAACAATGGCTCTCCCGCACCTCCACCCCAACCACCACCACCCTGGTCCAAGCCACCAGACTCTGTCACCAAAGGCCACATCCGGGCCTTCCAGGCCCCTGGAGGGCAGGAGTCAGTCAGAGGCTTTCTGGATTCGTTTTCTAGAGTCTTGTTTTAACTTTTCATAGAAGGAAGGTAGAGAGAAGGAGAAGGGGAGGGAGGGATGAAAAAGGGAAGGAGGGAAGGAGGGAGGGAGGAAGGAAGGAGGGAGGGGGGCCGGAAGTCTTGCCTTTTCAAACCCCCTTTCGGCTCTCCCAGGGCTGCACGCGCAGAATGAGGCACAGGGTAGGCTCTCATTAAATATTCGTGGAACCGAATTGCACCTTCTTATCCAGGAATCGATGAGGAAGCATTTGGCAGGCACGGGGGCACCTTGGGAATCGGAAACGGCCTTTTAACGCCCGGGCAGCCCCTCTTCCCGGCAAAAATTTCCTCCGGCCTGCAGATGAGTTTCTTTTCGGCACCTTTCCCCTGCCTCTCTCCGATGGGCCAATTATTTCTGATTGTATTTTCCTTCACTCTGCCTTTCCTCCACGAGCAGCGGGCAGCAGCCTTCGCTGTCTGCGGCCAGCAACGGGCCCCGATTGATCCACGCGCGCCGTGCAGGGCCCCCCACCCCCACACATTCTCAGCCGGGTTGTTCCCCCTCCCCTGCTAACTAGAGGAGGTGGGGAACCATCTCTGTGGGCTTTCTCGGGACTTCCTCCGCCCCCGCCGGGGGGGGGGGGGGGGGGGGGGGGGGAGGTGCACGGGGGTGAACAGGTGAGGGGAGGCTGGGGAACAGGTTCAGGCTCCCCGGGCCGCTGTCCGTCCATTCCCTTTGGGGCTGTAACCCCCACGTGGAAGTGAGACTCTGCCCAGCACCGGCCCTTAATGGGAGCTCTGGGTCTGGAGCTGCTTCACCTCTGAAAGCCCCATGCCGGTGACGCCGCAGGACTCAGACGCGGTGCGAACTGCAAAGGGCCACGCGGGGTCGATCGCCACCGGAGGCCCTTAAACGTGGCCCTCGAGGCCCCCCGGCCCCGCGGCCTGGCCGCCTCCTGACCCAGCACCCGCAGTGGTCCGTACCTGGGGATCCGTGCCCAGCCTCTGCCTTGCTTGACAGCTTGCGTAAGCAAGGAGACCGCGAACCAGCCGCAGGGACGGCGAGGCCCCGGAGGATCCAGGCAGGGTCCCAGCAGGAAACAACAGATGGCACACACAAGGCGGGTGATTTGGGGAGGGTTTAATAAAGGGCTATTTACAGAGATGCGGGCGGGGTGTGAGGAAGCTGGAGGGGTAGCAGCATACGGTCACTCTGGGGGCTACGGGGCGAGGGCGCAGCGTCACCTGAACTGGAAGCCGGGATTCCTGGTGCTGACGGGGGGGGGGGGGGGGGGGGTGGGGGGGAGAGGCCCCACTCCGTGGCGACCACTCCTGTCCTTCCCTGTGCTGGGAACAGAGGGCACAGGGCAGGGCCGGAAGGACAGAAAAAGAGCCCACACAACTCAGAGCATCGTTGAACCCAGCCGCCTCCATCTTGGCCAGGGAAACTGAGGCTGAAAAGCTGCTTCAGGGCAGAGCTCTCTGAGCCTGGGTGTCCTGCCCGGGGCTCTCGTGCCCCTAGCCCTCACCGACCTGAGAGCAGTGCCCAGACGAAGGGCTCTCCTGAGCCACGATTGCAGGGAGCGCCCCTGGCCGCCACACGAGCTGAGCCACACGCCCTTGTCTGCGGGAGCTCCGTGTTGGCAGAGTCCCTGCTGTGGGTGGGGTAACAGGTGTCAGGATCCGGGTGGGACCCTGGGTGTTCTTCTCCCAGGCCTCAGTTTCCCCACTTGACCCTCCTCGGCGGTGACTTCCCGCCTGCGCACACAGCCCACTGCCTGGGTCAGGGCTTGTGGTCCCAATGGCCTGGATGGGTGGGGGGGGGGGGGGGGGGCGGGGGCCGGGGCGGGGCTGAAACTGCCGAGGGCGATGGGGTGGCGGAGAGCGGCGGTCGAGCCACGGACAGGAAGAATCCAGAGAATCAGGGGAAAGAAAGCCTCACGGCGTTTAAGGAACGAGAGAGGAGAGACAGGTGGGGCCCAGAGACCCCGAGCTTCCTCTCACCTGGTTACCCGTCATCCCTCCCAGCTCCAAATGTCCACCACCCGTCAGCTCAGGGCCCCTTCCCCGACTCTCAGAAACACCCTCACGTCTCCCATCTTTACAAAAACCGAGAGGCATCTCGGACACCAAGAGAGGAAAAGAACGGAGGAAGGAAAGTGGCCCTTGGTCCCCAGGGCCGCAGCGACATCAGCGAAGACGAAGGTTGAGAAGTCAGCCCCCGGGGTGGGTCAAGGGGACACCACTGGGGCAGATGAGGAGGGCTGCAGAGGCTACGGGCGCACAGGGCGTGAGCCTCAAAGGCGATACGCTGTGGTTGCGAACGGGAAGGGGGAGAGAGGAAGGGTCTGCGTTTTGCAAAGAGCTGTGTGTGTGTGTGTGGGCGCGTGTGCACACGTGTGTGTCTGCAGTTAAGAAGATAGAGACTGGAGGGTGTTTACAGGCAGAGACCGAGCGAGGACATAATGGATTAATTGAATAAGGAGAACACGGCCTCTCTCCTCTGTGACTTCCTGGTGTGGGAGGGCCGTGAGGGTCCGAATGACACCTCCACTAAAGGGACACGTGCTGTAATTGAATTACTGCATCCAGTGGCCGTCTGGGGCGCTGTGTGACCCCCCTTCCCGTGCCCACACACCTGACCAAAGAGAAAGCCCCCTCGCGGCCCAGGGCCCCGGGAAGCTCTGTCCCCGTAGGCGGAGCACGAGTGTTAACTGTGCTTTTAACTTTCAAAGGGCTTTTCTATTGATTTTATTTACTCCTCTGGACCCAGCATGTGTCACGCTCTGCTTTAGACACCCGTGAGCCGCCGCATGCAGTGGGAGGTAGGGGGGGAAGGTCTGGAGGCCACAGCACACGTCTGACCCTCCCCTGTGCCATAGCCATGCAGTAAGGGTCCAGAGAATGTTTGCTGAGTGAATACACGATGGATGGATGGATGTGTGGCTAGGTGGGTGGATGGATGGAACCATATGTTTGATAGGAGAGCTCTGTCTCTCTCTCTCTCTCTCGCTCGCTCATCAGGTGGGTAAACTGAGGCCTGGCAACCAGGACCTTGTGTGGCATGCAGCCAATATTTGGAGGCATTAACGCTTGTCTCATGACTGTGATGACATTTCAGTTTCAGCCAGGAGGCAGCCATCTAGTGTCCCCAGAATGAGTCACGGCCCCCTTCCTTCTCTTCACTCCCTCTGGGACAGGGGGTGGAGCTGGGTTCGGGCTCTGTGTCTCCCCATCCGTGGACCTGTTGACTCTGGAACTCTCCGGGAGGCCCGGACAAGACAGAGCCCATGGCCGGGGGGGGGGGGGGACACTCAGAGTTTCATGGGGTGCCTCCCCCATATTGTCACTGCCCCCATGCGTGTCCCATGAAGGCGGCTGCTTCATCCTGACCTCCAGCATCTGTCGGTGAGCAGGACAAACCTGAACTCCCGTGCTCTCTAACCTCCGTGCCCCGGCTGATGCTGGGTGTCATTTAGAATGCCCACCGCTCACGCCCATCCCATGCTGAGGGCCACCTCCTCCAGGAGCACCTCCAGGAATGCCTGCCAGGCTCCTTGTCCCTGTACTCACCCTGAGGCTGTCTGCCAGGGCTGCTGGCCGGTTCATTGCTATGTCTAAGAGCACGGGAGCTCCCCGCGAACTGGAAACTCCTGGAGGAATGGGGGGGAGGGGCTGCACCTCGCCCCCTGCCCCCACCTTTTTGGCGCCCAGGGTCGTGAGGTCTGGTCCCGCACTTGCACTGGGTACAGGTGGAGTAGGGCTGGTGTGGCCGCCCTCTGTCCCTCCAGCTGGACGGTGGGCAGGATGTGGGCAGGGATTCCCTCCAGGGGAGCTGTTCCTGCCTCCCCGCTGTTGGGGGTGCCTGTCTCTGCGGCTGCCTTGGGCCCTGCACATCCCTGTCGCTGGTATTTTTAACTTGGCCCAGCTTTTAGTAAGTCCTCCGTGTGTGGGGAGGAGTAAACAATGATCTGAGAACTTGAGTAATGAAAACATGACTCTGAGGCTGTGGAGAGAAGCCTCTGTCGCTGGCTTCATCCCGAGGAAGGCCCTTCCCTCCGGGGCCGCCTCTGCAGACGCAGGACGGCACTGCATCTGGGTCCCGGCACCTGTCCGAAAGTCAACGGTGCCTGGGGGGCTGCGGCAGGGAGGGGGGGGCCGTCCCACAAACACCTCCCTGTAGCCTGGCCCCATCTCAGAACCTGCCGCCTCCTCCAGGCAGTCCCCCACGGATGTGCGTCCCTCTGCGAGGGTCAGGCAGAAAGGTGGGTCTATGGCCATCTTGCACAGTGGCTGCTGTTCGTGGGTCTCTTTTCTGGGCACTCTGCTGCCGGCCAGGTGCTCAGCTCCCGGCCTCCGCGTGTCCCTGGTTCCCGTCTTCTCTCTCCTGGTCCCATGAGACCCCTCGCTCCTCTCTCCTACTCCTTGGCTGGAGGGTGAATTGTAGCCAGTTATCACAAGCCCTGGGAGCTGCCAGCAAGTTCTCTCTCTATCCTGCAGTCCACTCTTTCCTCCCGGAATGTGGCCTGTCTCGGTGGCCCCCCTGCAGACCATGGTGGACCTGTCCCTCAGGGAGGAGTCCTTCCTTCCTCTCCTCTCATGGTTTCAAGCCTCAGCCCAAACGCCCAGGCTCCATACCATCTGCCCTGGACCTCCTGGTCACAGAGCCCTGGGCCCCTTCTCACTCCTCGTCTTGCCGGAGGGATGGACGCTCAGAGACAGGCGGCTCCCCGGTTGCTGGAGGTGCTCCCTGAAGACAAGAGTCCTCCTCCCCTCTGTGGGAGTTTGTGGGGAAGGAGCCCCCCGTAAGCTGTAGACTGTCCAGAGGCAGAAAAGTAGGTGTTCAATAAATATCAGGGAGATGCCTCCCCCCCCCCCACACACACACACAAGAGGTGTAGCAGTTCGTTCTCAGGTAGCACTGGTTTTACAGGAATACAGAGGAGGTGATCACCGTCTATAGGTGACCTCAGGGAGCTGCTAAACCCTGAAAATACCTGTCCCCCCACTGGACTGCTGTCCACAGCAATCTTCACTTCCATTAGCAGAAAGGAACCTGGCACCCGGTCCCACCCTCTCCTTCCCAGCTGGAGCCTTTTGAATGGGTGTCTCGAACCCCACTGGACCCCAGTGTCCACATCCATAAGATGGGGCTAAGGACCCCCGCTCTGCGCGCCCCCTCTCGGGCTCTGGCGAAGCTGTGGGGCTGAGTTTGGAGGGAGAGTCTGGGAGCCAGGACTCGGTTATCACCACTCCCACTAATTGTTGTTATTACAATAATTAGGAATGTGCCCCCTGGCCTTTGGGGTAATCGAGCCTCTCCCAAGGGTGAAGGGGCCTCCCTGTGGGTACCCCAGCTCCTCAGAGCCGGGCCACCTGCTTGTGGGGGGGGGGGGGCAGGCGATGACTGGCCAGTGGGCCGGCCTGTGGGTACCCCGGAGCCCCCGATTGTCACGGGGCTTCCCCAGCTCTGCCTGCCACTTAGTTCTGCCTGTGAGAGGAACGCTGTCTCGAACAAAGCGCCTGGCCCCATTCCCGGGTCGCACATCGGCCTGTCTCCTCCCCAGCCCCCCTCGCTTGTCAAGACAGAAGCTGGCAGGGAGGGGTTTGCAAACACGAATCGTGGCATTTATTCACATGTTCCCTGGCCCTGACTTTGTAAAAACATCTGTGGTGACTCTTCCTCGAGACAAGGGAAAGTGCTGGTCTCTTTCTGTGAGCGTTGCCGGGAAAACAGCGGAACCCAGCGCTGGAAAGCATACCGTGTCATCAAGACGGGGTGTGTCGTTACCGACTAATTAGCAAGTCTGAGGACCATGACCGCAGAACAAGGGAGGAGAGGGCCCAGCAAGGCAGCCAGATGCTGCTGTGTTCCTTCACGTTGTCCCCGTGGCCCAGGGCTGGGGACGGGCCACCAGGAGCCCTCGGCTGGGGGTGCGGGTGGGGGGCCCGTGCAGATACGCGCGTCCTGAGCCAGAGCAGTGCTGGCCCGTTACCATACCGGCCGCCCGGGCTGGATCCCCCGCTCTGTGCCTGGAGGTGGTTATAACGAAATCCCAAGACCATCAGTCGGGACCCTGGGGCCCTCTCCCCTCTGCATCCTGGTGCTGGCAGTGAGGACCCCCTCCCCTCCCACCCTCCACCCTCCCCTCCCCTCCCCCCAGCACCAGCCAGCCTTCCGTGTCCGGAGGCCACCGCTGCTCTCGGCTTCCCACATACCCACGCGGTGCCTGCGGGCCTCAGTTAGAGCTGTTCCCTCCACCTGAGGACCCCTCCTCAAGCCTGTCACTTGTCAAAGCACGAGCTCATCCTGCAAGGCTAGGTCTGAGCGAGATGAAACAGAAAGGCCAGGCTGTCCCTTTACCCACGGGCCGCCAAGGCCGGGTGGCCCAGCAGGCTCACCAGCCATGCAGAATTGGAACCCAGGAGCACAGCTGCCGAGTCTGGACCTTCTCCCAGGGGTCTAGGGTGGCCAAACTGGGACCCCTTGTGCAGATTCCAGCTAGGTGCACGGATTCAGCGTGGCCCGGGGGAGTGCGCTCCCCGTTGCTGGAGGAAGGTGGGACTCAGTAAAGGGAGGGTATCGCTGTACAGGACAGCATGGATAGACAGACTGACAGACTGTGGGGAAACTGCTAAGGCCTCTCTGGGCCTCACAGTCCCGACCTGCAAGGCAGAAATGACCTCGGGACTAACATAGAAGTCCACTCTGCCCCAAGTGCCCGGAGGTAGCTGGCGGCCAGCAGTGCCCAGAGGAGGAAGAACAGGAGGGCACGTCTGACCCGAGACCCCCAGCGCGGCACGTCCCCGAGCTGGACGAGAAGCCCTCTCCCACTGGCCGAGCGGCCGGAGTGCCAAGGTGGCCCGGGCCGGGCCCGAGAGCCTTTCTTTGGAAGGCTTCCCATTGGAGGTGACCTTGGGGATGGGCCTTGAAGGGTACAGATGAGTTTGCCAAATGCAGGGGAGGGGGAGGCCTTCCCAGCAGCGAGACAAGCTTGAGCCAGGGAAGGCCAGGGCGCCAACGTGCCTGGCTATTTTGGGAGCCTTGTCAGAGACCCGCTGGAGTGAGGGAGCAGCTGTCCCTGAAGGTTGGAGGGGCTGCCCAGCCAGGGTCCCGAATGCCAGGCCGCTGGGCAGAGTCAGGGGTCGCCTCAGACAGGCTCTGCGAAGGGGAAAGGCAAGGTCGGAGCCTTAAAAAGCTGCAGCGACCGCTGTGGGAGCGGGGACAGCCAAGAGGCCGCCGCTGGGCGCCGTGGGGAGGCAAGGAGAACCCAAGTAGGGCCTGGAGGAGGGGCTGGGGGCCCGGAGCAGCAGTGGAGATGACTTCTGCCCCCGGCCCCCCAAGCTCACGCCCCTGCAGGCGCTCACTCCCACAGCCCTGCCTTCCCTCTAAGAAAGTGTGAGAAACACGGGCCGGGGAAGGTCTGCGTTTGGCTAAAGTTCAAGACTGGCTGGGGGAAGCCAGGCGGAGGTAAGGGCCTGGAAGTTTCCAGAAGCCTTGACTCTCCTCCCTCCACGTCTAGCTGGCCACTGCCCCAGCCCCGCCCGGCCCCTGAAGGGCAGGACAACTGCCCTTCCCCGGCCCGGCCCGGCTCTCGGTGAGCCCGCGGCGCCCCCTGCCGGCCAGACGTGGAGGAGGGGGGGGCGGGAGGCAGGTGGGCGCTCAGCGGCCACCCCGCGTTCCCCCCTGCGGTGTATGCACGGTTCATAAAAGAAGGGTACGTGTGGCAAAAAGATAAGAGGGGAGCCGTTATTAATGAAAACAGGTGAAGGGAACATATTCATTATCGTTTCCAGCCTAATGAAGCCTGTTGAAGGCTCTCTCCGGAGTGATAAATCCCCCCTCCATCCGGCTCTCCCAGCCATGGAGCCTCGAGCTTGTCATAACTAATGTCACGGCAATCACACCGCTTCTCCCGAATTTCCTCAATGCAGCCCCCGCGCGGGAGGACAGGGAGCGCGGCTGATAACAAATTTTGGAAACACAGAATTTCACACCTCATTGCGCGAGCATTAAGGTGACAATACATTGGATTCTTTCCTCCCAATTGCCCACACCCATCTCCTCCGTGGTGGTGGCTGTGGGGCCCAGGCCTCCCGGGGCGGCAAGGGGCACCTCCTGTGGGCCTGGCAGACCTCCAGGGTGCGGCCCGGGGCTTGTCAGGTCTGGGCGGCGGTGCCCCGGCTACAGAGGGCGGGGGGCGGGGGGGGGGGGGGGGGACGGTGACAAGAGAGCCCTTTGTCTCATGATCACGGGGTCCGGAACCGCGTGCAGCGGGAAAGCACCCCAGGGCCCCCCGAGGCCGCTCTCCCCCTGCCAGGCCCCCACGGCGGCCCGCGGCCTTCCAGTTCCGGCTCCTGACGTCCGTTCCCAGCGAGCTCGGCCAGGTGGCTCCATGTTTTCACCCCTCCTGGGAGCGAGCACAGACAGCTGCCGTAGACACGATCCAGACTGCGGGGCCTGGTCAATAAAACTCCCCATCACGCCGCTGCAGAGCCCGGCCAAACGGCTCCCTTGGCGGTATGACGGCCTACGGTCTGGCCACCCTGGCTGGAGGGGCGCTCAGGAGGGGCGCCCGGGCCGGTCCCAGACGCACCCGGATGTGTGGGCGGGTGGAGAGGGGCAGAAAAGAAGTCCGTGGCGACCCTATGCCATGGGACAGGGAGGGAGGGGGAAGGGACGCAAGGAGAAGCCGCTGCCCCCTGGTGCCCCTACTCGGGCCGCCCCTGAAGTGTCCAGGGTTTCCCCACCTTCGTCCAGCGCCCCCCCCCCCCGCAGGTGACACACTTCACAGGTCTTCGACCTTCTCTGCACGGAAGTGAGCGCCTTTCTCATGTATTTCTGTTCCCAACATGCAAGGATTTGGGGGTGCACGGAGGTCATTTTAGGCCCCTCCAGAGCCGCTGTGACTAGAACGAGGACAGAAACATTTCCAGGCCTCCCTAGCCCCGTGGCTCTCAGGTCCTCAGCTGCCGCTGGCAGGGAGGACAGACATTCCCGGAAGGAGCCGGCTGGGAGGGGTAAGAGGCAGGACAGGGACAGTGGCCAAGCCTAGGGCAAGTGGAGCCACCCAGAGGCCTTGGCCAGTAACTGACGCCCGCTCTCACCTCGGGGACGCTCTGGACCAGGTGACCAGGCGAGGGCAAAGAAGAGGGACCAGCCCGGGCCCTGCCGGCTCCGGCACCCTCCGCCGCGTCCCAGGGCTCGCGGGGCGGGTCCACGGAGCATCGGAGGCAGCGTGGATGGTGGTGGTCACCTCTCTGGTCCTGCCCAATGACCC